TGTGGGGACACCTTCGAGCCTCAGCAGCGAGGGCAAAACCTCCCGTGGCCGGGGATGCGCCGCTGCGGGGGAGCAGCCCCCGCTCACGGCCGCTGCCCCGCTGGTCCCTGCTCACCGGGGGCTGGCACCGTCCCTGGTGTCCCCTGCCCAGGCACTGCTGAGGGCAGGGGCAGGGTTGGGGTCACCCCCGCAGCTCCGAGCATCCCTGCGGCTGCGGGAGCTTCTCCCCCAGCACCAATCGCTCCCACCCCCGTGCTTGTCCAGACCCTGTGTGAGGAGGGACACGGGCACCCCCTCTGCAGCCCCTGTAACTCCCCGGGCTCCCGGTTCTGCCCAGGGACCCCCGTGACAGCGGTGGGGTGAAGGCAGGGACCAGCGGCAGGCCGGGGATGGGGGGTCCCCGGGCGGGGAGCACCAGGGGATGCCCCCGCTCCCCCGGCCGGAGCCCGCAGCTGCCGGCCCCGCGGGTCCGTCATAATCATTGGGGGAAGACAATGAGCGTTGTTTATCCCCGGCACTTTCCCTGCCGAGGGGGGGTGCAGGTGAACCCCGACCCCGCGGGGGACACCCCACGGGGGACACCCTACGGCCACCCCCGCCGCAGCAGCACCGGCATCCCCAGGGGAGAACCGTGGGTGTGTGAGGGGACCCCATCCCTATCCCTCAAGGGGGGGACCCCATGGACCCCGAGTGGAGCCAACCCCGACCCCCCACTGGGCCTGGCGCCCCCCTCGCACCCGAGCAGCGGCCCCGGGAGGGTGCGGGGGCTCCGGGCCGGGCCGGGCCGAGCCGGGCCGGGGTGTGGGGTTTGGGAGCTGTGTCTTTAAGAGATGGCTGGCTCCAGGTTGCAGCTGCTGTTTCTGTGCTATAGAGACAGTGGAGATTCATTACTCCTAAAACACAATGGGCATTTATCACCCCGTGGTGTTATTCAAATCCAGTACCAATTGAAGGTCATCCCCATTCTTTTCTCGCCGGCTCTGCAACACATTTATTGTTGTGCCGTTCAACTAAAAGCCCTGCCCGGCCCCGGCGCAGCCCGCAGAGCCCCGGTGTGCGCATCCCTCCCGGGCGGATTCGGGACCCTCCCGGCTGGATACGGCGTGGAGGAAGAGGGGCAGCGCCGGGGCGGCTCTCGGGGCCCGAGGAGCCGGCAGCAGGTGCAGCCGCGGCCCCGCCGCCGCCGCCGGTGCCCGCCGAGCCGCGGGGACCGCCCGCTCCGCCTCGCGGCACGCACCTTCCGCGCCCCGTGGAAACTCGGAGCCCCGCCGGGGCGCTTCGGGCAGCAGCGGGGCCGCCGCTCGCCCGGCCCCGGCCCCCACGGCTCCCCCCGGGGGGCACCGGCCACGGCTCGGCCCCGCGGCGCAGCGGAGCGGCCGCCGGCAGCGGCGGCGAGGGGGGGAGCGCCGGCAGCGGGCCGGGATTTTCCCTGGCTGGAGAGGGGGGATCTGCTCCCAACTTCGTGGGAGCCGGTCGGTGAGAGGGGGCTGGGGGAGAAGCCTGGATTTTTCTTCTTTTTCCTTTGATTTTGCAATTATTATTATTATTATTATCAATCCCCCCCCCCCCCCCCCCCAGCCGGGCATTTACAAATTCCGGCGATTTTCCAAAGTGCCCGAATTTTGAGGACGATCCGCTTGGAATCGGTCAATTCTCCGCGGCGGGAGGGAGCGGCGGCGGCAGCAGCGCGGGCCCGGGGACTGTGCCCGCATCGCCCCGCCGAGCCCCGGGCACCGAGCGGCGGCCAGCGCGGCCCCGAACCCCGCGCCCCGGGGCTGCCCGGCGGCTCTGCCCGCTGCTTTCGTTCTCCGTTTTTCTTCCTTTTGCCTTTTTTTCCTCTTTCTTTCCCTTTTATTATCTTTTTTTTTTTCTTTGATTTTTTTTTTATTTTCCTTTATTATTATTATTTTTTAATAAGGCCGCTTTTTTTTTTTTTTTCACTATTTCTTTTCCGGAGGGGCAACAAACGAGTTGATAAATTAAACCCCTCGCGGTGCCATCAAATCGAAACCGGGATGCGAAGCGCTGAGGCTGCGCTACAAACTTGTTGAGGCCGGAGCAGCGGCTCCATGGGGCCCGGGGGGCACCAGAGAAGCGGGGGACCGGGGTGATGCTGCGGGCGACGGCGGGCAGCCGGCTCGGTGCCCGTGTGTCCTTGTTTTCCAGGCTCCAGCCGGAATCCCCTTTGGAAGATCCCGCGAGCCCGGGATGGGAATCTCCGCTCCTGATTGTCCAAACGCAATTCTTGTGCGATGGAGCCGTACGAACCAAGAATTGTGTCTGGACATCTGTAGCAGAGGTTCCGACTCCACCGGCCGGGCTCCGGGAGGATGCGTTGGGGCGGCAGAGAAAGGACGGAGCCCCCGGGCTCGGGCACGGCAAGGTAACCGGTTATCTGTAAGCCCGGGGAAGCCTTAGCGAGGGTTTCAAGGAAATTAAACAAACACCGGTGGCTTGGGGGTTCCGAATGCGTCAAATACCGGCCGGGTCCTCACCGGGACCGGGCAGGGACCGAGGGGCCGGAGCCGAGCGCGGCGCCCCGGCCCTGCGGCTCCAGCCCCGGTTTTCCTCCTGCGATTTATTTATCCATCGCTTTGAAATCGCGGTTTCATTTTATCCAACCTATTTCGGCCCTGGGGCGCGGCGGGGACCCCTCTGCACTGGGACACCCTCATCATCATCATCATCATCATCCGCATCCTCCTCCTGCTGCTGCTGCCGCCGCAGCACCGGCTCACCGCGGGCAAACGGAGGCCGCTCCGGTCTCCGTCGAGCAGGGAACCGTCCCCGCAGCCCGGGCACCGGCGGAGAGCGGCCCGGGCCCGGCTCCCCTGGCCGAGGGATGCGGGGACGGGGCCACACTCAGCGCCCGGGCTGAGAGGGGACCGGGCCGGAGAGAAGCCAAGAAGCTGCGGTGGCCCCGGCGATGGAGAAGACGCTTTCAACGAAGAGAAGGCTTTCCAGAGAGGAAGGCTTTCCATAGAGAGGCTTTCTGGCTCTGCAAGCCAAGCGCCTCGGCTGGGGCTGCCAAGGAAACCCGGGAGGAGGAGGGAAGCATTACAAGATCCGAGCGAAATTTCACCAAGAGCCTATCTAGGACAAAGCTGGAGGCAGAGAATGGCTTAAAAAGGCTTTGATTTATTTTATTTCAGAAACTTTTTGAGTTTTGTGTTACAGGGTTTTGCTGTGCCCCTCTCCCCCCCCTCCCCGGCATCCCTCATCTTCCCATTTCTAGCTATTTTTTCATAGCAGTGATTGGCAGCTTTTACTACAGCAGGAGCTAAGCCATCTGGGTCTACCTGCACCGGCAAGAGGAATAACACCCCCCAAGGATGGAACTGATCCTGTCGTGAACAAACAGCTGGGGGGGACAAGGATGGAGCCTAAGGCAAAACGCGGTGTAGAGCCAGGGCCGGCTGCAGCGCTGGAGACGAACCTGCCTTTTCCCGCTTGGGTTTCAGTCGTTTCAAGCCGTGCTCCACGCAGGTTCGTTGTTTTTCAGCCAGCTCCTTCCATCACTTGGAATCTCCCCTGCACTGCCCCAGCCCAGCAAAGCTGAGGGCTGAGAACTCGGGACAGAGAAGAGCCTTTGGCCTGTGAGTGTCATTTACAAGCGGCACAAGCTGGACTCAAGTGGCTGCGGCTGGATTTGGAAAAGGCTGAATCTCGGTTTGTCACCAGCAGCGGGTTTGAAGTTAGGGCTTCTCAGATGCAGCAGCATCCTGGGTGCTGTCTGTGGGTTATGGTGGGGTAAACGTGAGAGAGGAGTCACCGGAGGACTCAGACAGGGATTCACTCTATGGCATTCCCTCGGCAGAGTAATTCCTCTGTCAGGCAGGGTGGGAAGGGCTCCTTGCACGGAGCACTCGGGATCTCAGGCCAGGCTGCCCAAGCACTGCACTGCTCGCTGCCACCCTCCTCCTCCTCGGCAGCTCCTGGGGATGGAGGCCGAGGCGAGCAGCGTGTGGTACCCATCAGCTCTGGGATGCGCTGGCTGAGCTTATGGCAGCTCCGGGATTGCCGCTGCTGGGACCATCGAGAGGCTGGTGAGCAGGGCAGGGGCAGCGCAGGAAGGATAACCCTGGCTGGACACAAAAAGAAGCTCACACAGCACAGACCTGTTGGTGCCCCTTCCCTCTGCTCTCACCGTGGCCTCCCGGCTGTCCAAGGAAACTTCTGGAAGCAAACAGCATCTGCGCCCAGGCAGAGCCACGCACGCCCGCTCGCAGGACCTCCTCGGGGCATGCAGTAAGAAGCCTTCCCCTCCACTGATGGAAAGGGTTAAAAGCCACTGACTTTCTTTCAGGGTCTGCCACCTCCAGCCCCAGTCCTTCCCCAGCCAGGCTGCAGCAGCCTGCCCAGAACACAGCGCAGGCTGATCAATTCTGTCTATCACGGTGACAGAAAGATAATTTGCTGCCCTTATCACTCTGTGCTGTCTCAGGCCGGGGACGGGTTTGCTTCCCCTCTAACCAAATGGTTATAGATTGGTATTGTTCCTGGGTTAGGACTTTACTCTGCCTCAGCTCAGGTATGAAAGAGGTTTAAGGCATTAGAAAAACACCCTTAAAAAAAAAAAGCCTGTTTTCCTCCTATTTCCCCTAAATAAATACTGCAAGTGGAAAGTCACTACAGAGGGCTCTGGAGCTGTAATGTCTGCTGCCTCACAGAGAAACTAGTAACCTTTTGTCTCCTTGCATTTCACATCTCACCCTTCCCGTGGCTGATGCACAGACTGTACCAACACCAAGTATTGTGTTAAAAGAACCCCCAGTTCCCAGCACCAAGGCAGAGGCACCCCAGCCTTGCCCCAGAGCAGGCACAATCCCCCAGCACACCTCGCTGCCTGCAAAGACATGTTATCCTACTTGAGGTGCAGCACCCTTCTTCCTCCCACCATGGAAAACCAAAGTCTCACATGCTGCAGGTGCTCTCTGCTCTTTAGGGTACCTTGAAGTGCAGTCAGGAGAGGTGAAATGAGGACCAAAAGATGGATGCTGTTGTGATGGAGAGCAGGCCGCATGCTGACAGGGCTTTATTTGATGTCTAGTAATGAATGAAGGCAGTGAGAAGGTGCAGAGATCGGGCACAAGCAGTTCAAGACACGTTTTGGGTTTAGGTTTTTGTTTGGGGTATTTTTTGCTCAGTGATTTGGATTTACATCCTCTTGTTCTTCCAGGGGTTCATCCGCCGTGCAGTGTCGAGATGAAAAGCACAGTATCCTGGTCCTGGAGTTTATAATCCAGCTCACCCTGCAGGCCAAGGGGAAAACATGAGAAATGGTTGAAATGGCATTTCCAAATCCTGGCTGTAAAGAGAAAACAGCTCGTAAAGCGATGGTGAGCGCTAGGGAGAGCAGAAGGGGATAGACTGATGTTTTCATCCTAAGGGAAGCGAAGGTGGGAGATCAGAGGAACTGATGTTCATTATCCCACACCGCTTCCTGGACCAGGGTTTGACAGCACTGGTGGTTGCCCGAGGCAGGACAATGGTTGGTGGCTGTTTGTTGTCTGAGCACAACAGTGGGCTGAGGAGGGAAGGTATTTACCAGTTGCCTGTTTGAGCAGAGATCTCCCCAGGGCTTCACTGCACCTTGGCCTGGTGAAGGTGGCTTGCTTGGGGCTGTGGAGCTGCCTGGTTCCCACTATGCTGTTACCCCATGTGTGGGGGAGACCTGCCTGCAGCCAGAGGCCAGGGAAAACTGGTGTGTGTGTGTGTGTGTGTGTGTGTGTGTGTGTGTGTGTGTGTGTAAGATCTCTCTTCAGGAAACACTGCCTGGCTGATGAGCCTCAGCAGGTTAGAGAAAGGCTCCAGGCTTCTAAACAGCCCCAGCACAATACAGGGAGAGAGATCCCAGCCTGCCCCTTCCCCTTCAAATAGGAGACGCTTTGCTTGGGGCAAGAAATCAGAAAGAACTTCTCTGAGAGCAACCACAGAACAGATAAGAGTAACATTTTCAACAAAGAAAGTCAAAGGGAAGGGGTACAGACCATTAGTTCCCAGTCTGCATCGTTGATGAGCACCAAAATTCCCGGCCTCCTGCAGAACAGAGGGAAATAATTAGGATACAGGGCTGCTAAAAAGCGACACAACTCGTTAAAAACAAGGGATGTTAGAGCACAGATCACGAGCTGACTGCCTGCAAAGCCAAAGAGAAAAAGGAATCCTAGCACGGAGGTGGAAACAGGTACAGTCTGTGCCCTTTCTAGATCAAATAAAGGGGAGGCAGGAGCAATCCCAAAGCTCATTTGAATCAAAATGCACCATTCCTGAGGATGCTCCGAGATGACTACATTGCCCTTCGATGTAGGAAAGCCAGGTAATTAAAACCCACGCGCTCCAGTCGAGCGCAGAGAGCTCCATGTGAAGGTAGGGAAAGCCACCCCAGTGCCCCTACCGAAGGCACTAAACACCCGGGGATCCACTCCCAGCCCCTGATTCCGAGCAAAGGGATTCCCCCCTCTTTGATCTTCAGTGTCCTGCAATTGTCTCTCCTGTTACCAGGGGACCTGGCACATGCTTCAGCTCACAAAGATCCGTGACGAATGCTCAGCACCCCCAGCGCCACCCCGCAGCACAGCTCCCTCTGCTCCATTTCTCTTGGCTTTTTGCTCTTCCCCCCGCGCCCGTCCACGAGGTCGGCCCCATTTTGACAATAAAAATACATTTCCCAGAAGGAATATTTGTTGGCATTTCTCCGAGTGACTGCTTCAGTGCCAGTGATGTCAGCAGGGGACGGACAGACCTGTTAGAACTCCTGGATTGAGGATACATGCGCTATGCTGCTCCAGGTGACAACAGAGAGGAAGTATATGTGGCTCTGCTTCACGTTTAGGGTTTAAAGAGCTGAGGTGAGGGCTGCAGAAGAGGGTCTCAATGGAACAGCGCAGTGGGGGACACCTCCCACCATCACTTTAGCAGATCCCTTATTTTCATTGTCATTAACGTGCTGCTTCAAACCAACAGGGAAAACGGATCCCAAACAGTGGAGACGAACAGAAAGCCACAAGGAGGATTCAGAAGAGCTGTACTTACACAGATTCCCCTTGCATAAATAATTCTGGTCGCTCTTTCAGCAGATTCTCTTTGATCCACTGCAGCAGGTTTCTGATATCCCCTGAAAGGAGAAAGGACAGCAGTTTACAAACTGGCTGACAGCTCCGAGCTGATGCCAGAACAAAGTGCTTGTTTATCCACAAAAGAGATGAGGAACATGCAGGGTGGAAGGGGATAGCTGCAAACCTCCACTCCAAGAACCCACCCAACGGGATTGCCCCTTTAGCAGTACCTAACAGGCAGCTCTGCCCCAAAGGAGCTCAGGGCTCTGCTCCAAACTCCATGGTTTGGCAGCAGAAAATGAATCCCACAAAGAAGGGATGCAGAAGCACTGATCCAGCAGGAGACTGACACATCCCATATCCTCCTTGCTGCATTATCACCTAACAAATTGATTGTTAACTCTCTGTGTGTTTAAAGTCCATACAAATGAGCCTAAGCACCTGAAAGGAGTAAAGGCAGACACTATGGGTACCAAAACCAGCACGAACCCCTGGCAACATGAGTTCTGGGGCACAGAATGTGCACAACCATGCATTAAACACACACACAAACACTTGCTACAGTAGTTGTATTCTGAACACTTGGAACATTCCTCAGCATCCCACCTGCTGCCGTGGTGCTCCCTCCCTCTATACTTTGCTCTTATAGGTTCTTTATTAAAGCTCAGCCTTTATCTTTCCATTTCAGTAGGTGACAGGAAGGATTTGTCTTCATGTAAAAGGAGGAGGAGACACTGCTGGCGGGTTTTTATAGTATCAATTTTACTTTCTGAGGCAAAAACAATTTCTTTAGTGATAGCATCAGTTAATTTCCTATTGGAGAGGTGAGGAGTGACTGGGGGGGGGATGGGATAATCCGTTACAGGGTTTAGAGATGCTGACAAATTGCAATGTGGAGTTCTCCTGCATTTGCCTCTATATTTCACTGTTCCTCAAACCACTTCATCATTCTGAATCCACAATCAGTTATTCTCCCGGGGCTCCTTTAAACAGCCCTTTGAAAGCCCCCAAAGAGTTTTGTTTGTTTTCCAGGCGTGAGGAAGCTTTTTGAAGGCACAAATCCACCAGTGAGGGCTGGAGCCCTGCTCACAGGAGGAGCAGGGATGTCTGGATAGGTTTCCAGGTCTGTCTCACGTGTTTCTTGATGCAGTCACAGGGAGCCCTTCCACACACGGCTCTCTAAGCTAAACTCAGGCTCTGTGTACTATTCCTTATGTGTTTGCTTCACAACCAGCAAAATGAAATGTATGTGTAGTGGCTCGACTCAGCTCTTGCCTTATCCCAAGATTCTATGGGATTGTGGATGCTACAGAGCAGAGCTGGGGATCTTCTGGATAACGTTACCCCACCACTTCTGCCACACCAGGGATGAATCTGGCATAGGCAGGTGCATATCAAGCAGGCAATGGGGATGTGTCCATCTGTGGCAGATGGGGTCCTCTTTTCCCAAGGAAAAGGGGAGGAGGATGCTCTGAGATTCCCTTTGCATCCCCTCCCTGTTTGACGGGTGTCTCTGGATGGCAGCTTTCCCCCTGGCACACCACTGCAGGGCCGCTGGGAGCACAACAGGTATTGCTGCCTCTGAGCACTGCAGTGAGCACTGAGCGCTCTGACCAGGGCAAAAAGACCTGCTTTGTGCCTTAAAACCACCCGTCAAGCTGGATCACCTGCCTGGGGCCAACCCACAGCTCCCTTGTAATGAGTTAAGAGCACAAACCAGACCATTTTCTGCTGCTTTCCTAGCAACGTGCTCTGGGGCTGGATGGCGAGCGCTGCTCAAAAGGTGTACGTACACCCCGGCGGTCAGCCAGCCACCAGAACAGCAGTGAACCACATCCACCTTCCCCTGAAACCCGCTGCTGCAATGCAAAGCCCTCAGGATCTCACACCCAAACAGCTCCTGCTCTCCATCACCAAGCAATGAAAGGCAGAGAGGAAGATGGGAGAGGAGCCTTCAGGAGAAGGAGGGGGGCACAAAGGGGACCCCAGCCCCAGCGCAGCAGCGCCCGCGAGCTGTTTCATATTTATGCACTTGCAGCAGGGCACACAACAATGAGCTGTGCCAGATACCATTCTCCTCGCGTGGAATAAGCAGCCCTTTCCTCTGGGACCTTTCAGGAGAGATCATTTAAACAGAACCACGCTGCACCAGCTGGATAAAAGACAGCCACCTCGAAGCAGCCTGGATGGAGAGAGGACTGATTTATTCGAGGCTGAGCTGCAAGACTCACCCCTACTCCTTCCATAATAAATGCTCATTTCAGCCCCACCTGAGCCTACGTTCATTTATTCCTCCCTACACACACACTGAAGAATCCAGACCCAACACCCCTGTGCGTGCCTGCAGCTTCCCCACTCCAAACAGCCACAAAAAATAAGACCCCCTTGTCCAAAGCCAACCTTTAGATATAATACTTTCATCAGCTGCTTTCTCAGCATTGAATTCCTCCCCCCCCCTTCATGTCTCTATGTTTTATACACCAATCTAACTAGAACAAATCAATTATAAAGGATCAAAAATGACCAGAGCCACACCAAAATCATCTCCCACAAGGAAGATATTGAAAAGGAACAAGATTACTTCCATTGCAAGGGGTCTGGGGAGAAGCCATCTTGCAGCTCAGTGCCTCGAATAGCAGTTCTGATCAAGAGCTCAGGACTCTCTGCGATATCATGATGGAAATAATAAGAGGTAAATTATAGCACAACTGCTTATCTCTTGCAGTTGGCATACATAGCATTGCTAAGACATTTTCTTTCTGATACTACACTATGGGTCTAACAGGTTTCCAGCTCCCTGGGTTGAGGATTTGCTGTGCAAACCAGCAGGTCCTCCACAAACGACATATAAGGAAGGAATTAAATCTCAACCTGCTCAGGCACCACATCCACTGACAGGTTAAACCATGGCAATTTCACACTCGTGTTGCTTAGAAGCTGGTCCCCATCACAAAACAGAGGCAGTGGCTGTTTGCAGGAGCACAGTTGTACTACATGTGCTGCCATTCGGCTGAGAAAGCAGCCAGTTCTTTGGGTCAGGAGTGAGGGTCAGGTGCTCTCTGTGACAGCACAGCATTTCACTCTCCCATCTCCAGCTCAAGTGCAGCAAATCCCAGTAACGCCACAGTTTTAGCACCCCAGCATGGTCTCGGTGAAATCCTTTTGGTAGCCTGCTCCGTCTCATCCACAGCAAACAAACACCCACACCAAAAACCCCACTCTATCCTTAACCATTGGCAGCATCAGCAGAGAGGCAAGAACCAGCCAAGGAAGCTGAAATAGTCTCAAGCTGCAAAGGAGGGACTGAAGCACATGGTAGGAAATCCCTGTGTCACTTGTATACAGAGACAGCTTCTGCTGCCTGCGCTCAGAGCACCTCAAACCTCTGCCGCTTCACAGGAAAAATAACCTAAAGTTCATTAGGAAACCAAAATAAAGGAACCCAGCAAACGTCTGAGAAAACTGCTTTAGTTCAAGTGCACCGATGGGAGCTCCAATCCACGATACACACAGAGAGCAAAGCAGGCAGCGCTCAGGAAAACCAAGTGTGTGCTTGCAGTGCCACAGAGTCATTGGCTTGTCACGCAAGCGGGCAGGATGCAGGATCTGCAGCGAGCGTGCATACAAAACCCAACAGCCTCGGCTCATTTGCAGCCCAGCTGCATCACAACCGCTCCTGGTTGTGGCAGACAGCACGGCGCAGCCTGCTCCGTCCTCCTGCCTACCCTCCAAGGCCTGATCTTCTGCATCACCCCAACTGCTCCTCGATGAAGAATCTGCTGAGAGAAACACAGCTACGACTCCATTTTAGCACTGCCTGCAATAAGAGCCTGGGTTCATCTGCACCCTCAAACCCAGGGCTGGAATCCATAGATCTTCCCTAGCTCAATAAAACCTCCTGGGCCTGACAGATTCATCAGCAAAGAGGACACTCGCTGTGTGCAGAGGGAAACCGGGTGCCTTGAATAAGAAACACCAAGTTGCACCAGAAGGATCTCGCACTGAACTGATAAACGTACAGAAACACAGGAGGGTTTTGGGCAACCATTACCCCAGTTGACAAGGATGGGCTCTGAGCTCCCAGGGAGCTGCACAGGCCACTGACAGACTCACACACACACGCAGTGAGCAGACACCCCCGTGTCCCCCGTCTTGAAATGCACATATAAACCTGCACAAAGCACACAGTGCCTCGAAGAGCACCCAGAGGCTGTAATTCCACCCATCTTCTTGCCTTGGCTGCAGAAGTGTGAAATAGGGGAGCCCTATAAAGGCTGAACCATGGAAAATTCCCTTCTGGTCCGTAATAAACAAGATATATGCAGCACTGGTCACTAAGGGGTCAGTGCTGCAAGAGCACAGCGCTTTCCCTTGCGGATAGCTCCCTGTGGGGTACCATTTCTTTGACCCAGAATAAGATCATTTATCATACTGACCATGGCTGAGCTCCAATTTGCTGAGGTCACTAACTCTGGACGAGCGCCGCTCCACCCACATTCTCAGCCACCGGCCTGTAACCATGACAAAGCCCCTTCCCTGCAGCTCCTCTGCCATTATTCCCCCTGCCTGCATGGAAATGTATGGAAAGACAATTTGTATGCCCCTTTTCCTGGCCTGAAGCAGCTTGTTTTTAAAACAGATGAACCAGCTCCCAATACCTGCTGCCCCTCTAGGTGCGCGGCTCCTCTCTGCTATTGAATCCTCCAGGAATCTGCTCTCTAAAAGAGCTTGTTACAAAACCTGACCTAAGGGATCCTTCAAGCTCCTCCAGCCTCCCATCTGATATGCAAATCATTCGCTGAAGCAGACGATGGTGTGCCATGAACTGCAGAAGAAGACCTGGAATAGCTGATATAAATGAAGTCACAGGCACACGGCTTCGCTACTACACAGAGCGAGCAGCGAGGCAAGATTCTGCAGCAAGTGCAACATCCATTTTCCCTGACAAGTGCCCAAGCCAACCCTGCCATGCGCTGGAGTGGGCAGTGATTTAAGTGCTAGGGAAAAAATTAGGGGATAACTACAGCCAGACGTAAGAGAATCCCAATCATTGCTCTTA